TACATCAGACACTAGAAAGGCAATATGTCAATCAATGGAAGGGTAACTGATGTGATACAGCAATCTGTATACGGGGTAAAGTTGGGAGTTCATAACCCGCTTGAATCAAACTGTGAAATATGATGTATTAAGAACTGGGTAAGGTTTTGAACGACCAACAATAAAAAAATAAATTAATTAATTAATAAAAATCAAAGCTCAGGGTTTGATCTCCAGCACTGCAAAAAAACAAAAACCACCCAGGTTCAGAAATGAGCTCTAAACGCCCCCCCCCCATCCCAGCTCCTTAGAATGTTTCCAAACGAACACAAACACCCATAGGAGAATCTTGGGGGTGTTCCAAAGTTGGAAGCAAGATGCTGGGTTTTCTCTCTCTTCTATTCTTCGCTCATTTTTGGTCCCTCAGACACCCATTGACCCCCAAGAGTGGCACCAGAAGGACACAGGCTTTCTCTACTGCAGGCCTAGCCCTTTCCTGGGAATGACAAGGCCCTGCTAACCCCTACTAGTGGCATCCTCACTTCCTTAATGGTAAAATACAGCTTACCTTGGGAAGAGACACCAAGTGTCACTATAGAAGACATGTGGCACTGGAGGGGAGCCTTTGACTTCCAGGTTCCTGGGCTTTAGCTCAGACCCACTGGCCAGGTCCAGGACAATCTGCAGGAGACTAGGGAACCTGAATTTGTAAGTAGGCTCTTATCAGAGTCTGGGAAACGGTGAAGCAGGACCCTCAGAAGCCCTCTCCCAGGGACCTTTGCCAACGCCTGCAGTTTCCACTTGCATTCTGAGCTCAGTGAGCTTCTGGTGATGGCACCTAAGGACCACTGGCCACGCCCCAGCTGCGCTAGGCCGGGAGGGCTACAGAGCTACAGGAGGCCCTGCGGGTGTCAGGCAGAACTTTCCCTTAAGCTGCACAGCTGACGCCTGTGAGAACACACCAGTCCACGTCGCTGCAGACCTCTCTGTTGCCCCCACTCAACACAGTTTTTCTTTATTGATTTGCTCCCTTTAGCGGGCCCCCTCCCTCCTGCTGACACTTGTCCTTAATGATTGAATAAATTAATGGCAGAAGGAGACAGACGTGTCAACAGCTAGCAGTAATTCAAGCAGAATGGAGAAAGTGCTAAGTGGTGGTGGGATGAGTCATCCACGCAGGCAGGGAAGGAAGAGGGAAAAAGAGATTCATTGTCTCCTCTGCACGGTCACCACAATGTCTCAGGCCTTCCTCCCTTCCTGCCCCTCACATTCAGAAGACAGCAGAAATGTCCATGTGTCCCTTCAAGGATAGCTCCAAAGCACACACCCTGTTATCATCCACTGGGGATAAGAAATAGTCACCTCCGGAACATCAGAATCTCCAGGGACAGCACCGTTGCCCTCTGTCGCCCTCCTCCAACCTCTATCCCGATTCTGGTGGGAGAGAAAACTGTGTTCTTGCTTCTCTTTATCGATTGGCCACGAGGATCTGTGTCACTAGACAAAACATTGTCTAGCATTGCCTGGTTTTGAATTTTCTCTGACTGCACCCTTCCTTCTGTGGCTTCCTTTATGCAACTTGATTTTTTTGGCCTTGAGCCTGTTGATGCTTGTGCTGAAGGCTCATTCAGTCTCACTGATGCACGGTCCAATCTGCTAGGTAAACACACCAACGTTGACTTAGCCGCTCTCTCGCTGATGGCTCTTTGGACTGTGTCCAGTCTTTAGCGATCCCTAACAATGCTGCTGTAGGTGGCCCCTGATGCCTGGGTCTCTAATATATAGATATATGGCAGTGCTGGGTCATGGGGTATGTGCTTCCAGCTGTGCCAGGTAGCTCCAGTTTTCTGGAGGGGTGGAGCCTGCACCTAGGCACTGGCATCTGGAGTTCATCTTCTACAGTGGCACTGGGGTGGTCTCTCTTAACAGCTCCTAACACCAATTGAACTCCCTGGGTTTCTTCAGGCTGAGAGTTTGGGGGAAGCTGCAGATTTTTAAAAAATGGTGCAGGGGCTGGGGTTGTGGCTCAGTGGTAGAGAGTTCACCCAGCATGCACGAGGCACTGGGTTCAATCCTCAGCACCACATAAATGTAAAATAAAGATATTGTGTCCACTTAAAACTAAAAAATAAATATTTAAAAAAATGGTGCAGAGGGCTGGGCATATAGCTCACTTGGTAGAATGCTTCCCTCGAATGCACAAGGGCCTGGGTTCGACCCCCAGCACTACAAAAAAAAAAAAAATGGGGCAGAGAGACCACAGTGGAAGTAAGCCTAAAGTTTATTGGCTCCTCAATAATATAGTTTGTTTTACTATGAGTGACATAAATCCCCAAATAACAGCTGATTAAACAAGATAGAAGTAGATTCCTCTCTCCATAAATGGAAGGTCAGAAGTGGACTCTCCAGGCTGCTATACTGCTCTGTGGTGCAGGTTCCTTTGATCCTATTCTACTGTCTCTGCACGTGCTTTGAGCTGCTTGAGCTCCAGCCCTCTCATCCGTATTCTAGCCAATGAGAAGGAGGAAGAAAAAAAAGTCTTGCCCCTCTCCTTTGAATTCACTTTCAGAAAGTCACACAAGACACTTAATATTGCAGGAGCCAGAACTCATCTCACAGACACAATTAACTGCAAGTGATACTGGGAGAAGCCATTTTTGGGGGAAGGGAAGAGATGACATCTTAGCCTTGTGGCCTTGTGCTCAACTAAAAGCTGCTCAACTAAATTCCTACACTATGTTCATTCTGATTTACAATAAATCTTCAACCAATTGTCACTGGATGCACCTTATGTCCAGTTGTTATGTCATGGCTCTGTCCCTTCTTTCTCTCCAGGAGGATATGGTGTTTATGTTGGGAAAGAAACTCAGTCTTTCTTTCTTAGGAAAAAAAAAAATTAAATTATTCTGTAGCTCTTATTATTATATATAATATGTATAATACATCACAATTTGAGGTTAAGTTTAAATATCATCAAACTTACCGTCTTCACCATTTTTATGTGAGCAGTTCAGAAGTATTAAACGCATTCACACTGTTGTGCCACCGATCTCCAGAGCACTTCTCATTTTGCAAAGCTGAGACCCTTGTACTCATTAAATAATAATTCTCTCCCTGGCACCCTCCATTCTGCGGCCTGTTTCTCTGATTGGACTACCGTAGGCACCTCATACAAATGGAATCACGTAGTATTTGTCTTTTTGTGAATGACCTGTTCCACTGAGCACCATGTCCTCGAGGTTCATTCATGTCGTAGCATGTGTTGGAATTTCCTTCCTTCTTCAGGCGAAGAGTCCTGCATCGCGTGTGTACAGCACCATTGCTCTCCCTTCACTCCCTGATGGACCCCTGGCTGCTCCCACCTTCTGACTAGGAAGTAGAATTGCTGCCAAACATGCTCATGCTGTGTCTCATTTTCTGAAGAAACTCTGTACTGTGGGCCACGATGGCTGTCCCATCTCGCCTTCATTTCAACAGTGCACAAGAGTTCCACTTTCTCACATCCTCACCAATGCTTGTTATCCTCTGGGTTTTTTTGTTTGTTTTCATAGTCGCACTCTTCTTCTTCTCCTTCTCCTTCTCCTTCTTCTTCTTTTACGTATTTTTAGTTGTAGATGGACACAGTACTTTTATTTTATTTATTTTTATGTGGTGCTAAGGATCCAACCCAGTGCCTCGCGCAAGCTAGGAAAACACTCTACCCCGGAGCCACGGCCCCAGCCTGAGTGTTGTCTTCTTAATGGTGGTGAGGTGGCTTACTCCTTAAAATTCTTTCTATCGAGGCACAAGGCACTGCGGCACACACCTGTCATTCAGGTGGCTGAGGCAGGAGGATCTCGAGTTCAAGGCCAGCCTCAGCAGCTTAGTGAGGCCCTAAGCAACCCAGTGTAGACCCTGTCTCTAAATAAAAATATGAAAAAAGGGCTATGGATGTGGCTCAGTAGTTAAGGGTTCCTGGTACCAGTACCAAAAAAAAAAAAAAAAAAACAAAAAACTTTCTGAACTGAGGCTAGACCCTGGCATATAGTGTTTATGGAGCAAATTAGAGAACAAATTCAACAGTTGAGGTGGTTTTGTTTTGCAGAGTTTGTATAGTGAAGACACAGTCTGTTCTGGGTGCAGTGCAGCACACCTGTAATCCCAGTGGCTCAGGAGGCTGAGGCAGGAGGATCCCGAGTTCAAAGCCAGCCTTAGTTAACAGTGAGGCGCTAAACAACTCAGTGAGACCCTGTCTCTAAATGAAACACAAATTAGGGCTGGGGCTGGGGCTCAGTGGTCAGAGCCCCTCTTTCAATCCTTGGTACAAAAAAAAAAAAAAAGAAGAAGAAGATACAGTCTCTGAGAGGCTTGTATCTTGTCCAAAGTCAAGCAACTTGGTGAGGCCCTAATTGTCTGACTGCAAGGTCACATAGTTTCTTTAAAGGACTCTGACTTTCTTCTGAGCCTCAAGGGGCTTGTTCCCAACCATGGGGGCCCTAAGGGCCCAGCACTCTCCATCCTTTGGGTGAGCAACTCCTCTCAGGGGTGAAGTCATCTCCTGTTTAGAGTCACCTCCTCAATCTGGTTCCACCCCACACAAGGAAAAAGAATCCAGGACTAGGAAACACGTTGGCATGAATAATCCAAGGAAGGGGACCCCCACCAGCCCACCCGAGAGGCTCTGGAGACCAGGTGTGGGGACAGGAACCAGGCCAGAGCTCCCCTCCCACCTGCTGTGCCCAGTGACACAGTCACAGTTGAGCAACACTCCCGGGCCAACCTGAAAGCTGAAACTGTGCCTCCGGAGAACTCAGCCAGATGCCTGCAGGCTTAGGCTGGGCTGAGTCACTTCCTCACCTTAATTCTCCCCTAATGCCTTCCCTTTCTCTGCAGCTTTACTCAGGCACCACCGTCTGGGTGTGGAGCGTCTGGGGAAGCTGTGCAGGTGGGTCGGCTGAGCTGTTTATGTGGATATTTCCAACAGGGCTGGGGAGAGAGGATGTGGGGGTAAAAGCAAAGCCAGGTTTGTCTGCTGGCTCTGAAGGGCTAATCCCCCCTGCAAACAGGAGCACCTCTAAGCAGGAGTCCCTGGGGCGCAGAGAGCAGGGGTCTGGTGGAGGATGGACAGGGAAGGAAGGGAGGATGAAGAGGAATAGGAAAGGGGAAGCAATGGCTAGGTTGAGTCCAGAGACTTTCAACCCATTTCCCCTTCCCTAGAGAAGCTTCTACACCTTCCTTTCCTAGGAGAAAAGGGCAGCATCCTAAAAGGTCCAATTCAAGGCTATGCTATATATCATGATGCTAGTGTTTGAATGTGTCCCCCAAAAGCTCATGTGTTAGAAACTCAGTCCCTAAATGGCATTTGGAGGTGGGCCTTTGGAGAGAATTAGGTTAGATGAGGTCATGAGGGTAGGGAAAAAGAGACCATGGCTGCTACTAGGCTTGCTCTGTTGTCACATCTATGGTCTCCACCATAATATGATGCAGAACGAGGCCCTCATCAGATGCTGAGCAGATGCCCATGTCATGCTCTTAGACTACCCAGCCTCCAGAACTGTGGGGCAAATAAACTTCTCTTCTCTATGAATTACCCAGTCTCAGGTAATTTGTTATCAGACAGATGGTTTCCTGGATCAGTTTAAGGAGATCTCATACAGTGGGCCACTTTATGCTTTGAATATAACCCTTGAAGTTCTGCTTCTGCAGCTCATTTATTTACTTATTTACTGTACTGGGGATTGAATTCAGGGGCACTCGACCACTGAGCCACATCCCCAGCCCTGTTTTGTAGACTCAGAGGTAGGGTCCGAGTTGCTTAGCGCCTTGCTAAATTGCTAAGGCTGGCTTTGAACTTGTGATCTTCCTGCCTCAGCCTTCTGAGCCCATGGGATGTGCCCCTAGCTACAACTTATTTTTAAAACAGACGTTTCTTTCTCTTCCTCTCTTCCTGCTCCTCCCTTATCTCTCCCTCTCCCTAATCTCAGGGAAAAACAAGATTACCTTTCTCCCCCATCCTAGGCAGAATTTATCTGTCCTTGAGTACACACCCACCATAGGAACAAAGCAATCCAGACTTTGGGGAGGGTATTAGGCGATCTCAGAAATAACTATCTCCCAAATTAACAAGTGAATTATGGCTCCAACAGAACACGTGGAATTTGGCCTTTGAATCACCTCTCTACAAGTCCCCTGTTCTTGCTGAAGGGCAGAATCACAGCCTTTGGGACAGGAGTCCTCCGTGTTTCTCCCTTGCTACCAAAGCAATAAATCTTCTTTTTCCTTTTTCTCAAAACCATGTCCTCATTATTGGATTGACACTGGGGACAAGGACTGGGCTTTTGTCACCGTCTGCTTGCCTGTTTCTAGAAGTGCCTGTTACTCTTACCTATAAGTCCTCTTTCCTTCCCTTTGAAAACCACTAAACTTTCCCTTTTTTGTGGTGGTGGTGGGGGGCAATGCTGGTGAGCGAACCCAGGGCCTTGAGCACACACACCAGGCAAGCCCCCCACCACAGAGCCAAACTTTCTCCTAGGATACTGGATCTGTTGTCTGCGTATCACTTGAATAGCTTCCTTCCTATATTTGCCTACCTCAGCTTATACATTCGGGAGACAGAGCTTGTGACAAAGTTTGAATTTGTATTGGGGTTTCATTCATATAAGATTGAAGGAGTCAAAGAATGTAAGACTTGTGAAAAGGAGCCTTCTGCTCCTTCATCAGTTACCAATCCTTCTACTGAAACATACGCCTTCAATGTTTATGATTGGATTTTTTGGCATTTGTCTCTAATCCTCTCAATAATATATTTATTACTTAACTCTGCTCTTTTCAATTTTGGGCATCATT